GAAGGGCCCCAGCCCGACTTTCGACCCCTCCACGCAACTGGGATCTGATCAAAGACTTTCTGTTTTGGACATAAGCTGCAGAAGTAGTAGCAGTAGTAGTAGTAGTAGTAGTAGTAGTAGTAGTAGTAGGTGGCAGCAGCAGTAGTAGTAGTAGTAGTCGTAGCAGTGATAGTCGTAGCTGTAGCTGTAGCAGAAGCAATAGCAGCAGCAGCAGCAGCAGCAGCAGTGGTGGCAATAATTGTGGTAGTAGTAGATGTTGTTGTCGCGACAGACATTCCTCCATCCGTCGTGAGGGGTGAGTCAGCCCAACAATCCCAAGCCATCAAGACTTACGGCGTCTAATATGCTATCGGCTGTCTCTTTTTGTTTTCTTTGCCGAACGAGCTGTTAGGAAAGTTGCCGCTGTTACTTCTGATTTGCAAGGAATCACAGCTAAAGCCCGGGAGGTCTGATCTCATCATCCTCTCTATGACGCAGACGGCTTTCGTCTTGGATCATGAGGAGTATGCCCGATCCCCGGCCAGGAAGCTGTGTCGAGATCACAGATCAGCTTATTCGTCCCTATCCGCCAGCCCCTTGATGCCAAGTTAGAATACCCCTTCAACAGCACCAGTCTGCTGGTATTCAGGATGTTTCGGGTCTCGGGAGCACTGTCAGAAACTGGCAACGGTGAGCACTCCCGGCCTGCAGGGCATCCAAATGCATGACAGAAGCGAGACATGCCACAAGGGGGTGACACTGGCAGTGAAGAAACATGAACGGCACGTGTCCCACGATGATAAGCACAGCAGTTTCGATCGCCATCAACTTCATAGTCACCATGATCAGGATGCTGATATGTTCCACTGCCCGGATGTAGACGTGCAAAGTCTTCATATGTCTTCCAGTGCTGGGTCACACACATGCAGCTTGTCAGTAGCAGTCGCAGTGCGGCGCGCAGTAGTAGCTGTAGGAGTAGAGGGAGGAGCAGCAGCACCTGTGGTCACTGTAGTTAGTAGAAATATCCGTGGTTGCCCTCACCTCGAGCCGAAGGTCAGGTATGCAGCTCGACGTGCTATCCACCAGTACATCTATGGCTCGGCTGCGCCCCCAGTCGCAGGATCTGCGAAGTGGACAAGGCTGGCCCTAATTTTCGTCAATACCTTGCATGATGAATATAGTGCTTTTCTTGGTGCAAAGAAGAACAAAGATGAACCAAGACACCCACGATGAGGCAGAGTTAACAAACGAACCGAAGTCTTTTCCACAGCAGTCCCAAGACCGCAAGCCTTTACCCAGTAGATGTGCTGCGGGAGGTTAATGGCCTTGACTTTAAAGAAAGAGTAGTCAAGCTCAGTCGGCCTTCGTCCAGGTCGAGCCGCTGTTTTGGAAATGCCATCTACTCAAACTACATATTCGACGTATCTACATCTGGGCTGGCAAGACACGCGCAAACTTGCTTGCCAGATCTCAATAGCTCAACCTTCAACACTGATCTGCTGTTCAGTCTCGCTTGCATCTCGAGTGGAAACAGCCATACGCAATCATACAGAGTTTATGTCAGAGATGTGAGTGAATCTGCTAATTTGTGATAGCACTTGCATTGAGGGCCTTCAGCCCCAATCTTCCGAGACTCCTGGCTTTGTGCTGGATCCCCTGATGTGGGACCAACGGATCCTGCTGCTTCCAGTGACGAGAGATTCTCCATGGCTGAGTCATGCAGAAACCCCGTTTTGTTTTTCTACACAATTGTGCTGCGGATCCCTCCAAAACAGAAAGGGAGTGAGAAAGAAGACAAACAATTTCGGACTCTTGCGGTTGCCCATACAGCACGGAACACAACACTAAAGCTGAGTCGCCTTGACCTCTGCAGCTAGCTTGACCGAGGTGGCTGCTCCCTCGAAAGCCACCTCCTACGCTCCAGAAAGTTTCGATGTGGCGGGGTCCCGGGGTTGTGGCAGCACAGGGGAAGTCCAGCACCCGAGAGCCGAGATTCTAAGATTTGTGGTCTTCGGTCTCGGGAGGGTCCTGGTGTCAGTGAACTGTATCCAGCTTGAACATGGAACTCCAACCGCCCCTCTGACTCTTTCCGAGCTCTTCAATGCGACCTGAAGCAAGATGCCTACAACCCAAAGTGATGCAGGTGAGACCCAAGGCCTCCGAAAAGGAAGAAGACCAGGCGCCCTGGGGCTGGGGGTTGAAGGCTTGGGATGACAGCGTGTTGCGGACTTTGCCTTGTGTTTGCTTGTATCTGTATTGGCTCCACTGTTCCCTTTGCTGTTCTTCTGTCTCTATCATACATGTATAGTGGTTGCCCGTTTCGCAGTTGCTCGTTTTTTTTGCCATTGCTACGGCCGCCAACGGAATGATGATAATGAGTTATGACGAGGATAAATCACGCCTGTCACCGTCGTCATCGTAGTGGTAAGGTGTGGTACACGTGTTGGTTGTAGTTGTAGTAGTAGTAGTAGTAGTAGTAGTAGCAGTAGTAGTCGCAGTACTAGTAGTAGTGTAGTGGTAGTGGTGGTGGTAGTGATACTAGTGGTAGCAGTAGGGTATAGCAGTTGCAGTGGCTGTAACATTAAGTAGTGGGAGTCGTGGTCGTGGTGCACGCTCAACCGTAGCATTGTGCAACTTATAGCTATGTCTATGCTGCTGTCAAGAGCTCCGTCATAGTGGGAGCAGCGAATCAGGCCAGAGTGAGGGGCAATATGAAGGAAGCTTCCTGACCCGCAAGCAAAATTGCCGGTGTGGAGCAGTTGTTTCAAGGCTTCGGCATGCTCTCCATTTTGATGGGGTTGGTAAAGCCGCAAGCCCTAGTTGACCCGGATCTGTCACAGCTTCATCCGGCTGCCACCTGTTGACATCAATCCTCAACCACGAATGCTGAATTCTGACAGACAGTTTGCAATAACAGTAAACGACAGCCTTTCACTGTCCCGATCATGTCCGAGTGTGATTGCCGACCTGCGCCCAATTGCAGCGATTTGCTGCAAGAATGTACAAGCAGCTGCTGCAGCGCAGTAACAGCCAAAGCGATGGCATGCATGCTGGAACACTTTGTTGTAATGCTCGTTATCACGGTCACTATGATCATCATCAAGATAATGATTGCCATCGTCGTCATACGGTACTGGTCAAACAGAACAGGCCCAGCTCGACCGCGAGTTCGAGCAAGAGTTCCTGGTGAATCGCAGGCTCAGCTTTCAAAACTTTCCACTGGTGCCTGGGCTTTGGGCTTGAAGGTTTGGTTTGAAGGCTCGTTGAAGATCTCAGTCCCAATGGTGCAAGCAGCCAGAAAGGACGGTGTGAAGCGGCGTTAGACCTGTGGCATGCAGCGATTGGAGAGAGCTAGCCAAGGCGGCACCACATCCTCGAACCCTAAACTTCACTTAATAACCAAGGATCCAAGGTCACCGTCCCGGCCTTCAAACATGCGCAGCCTCTGCATGCCTCTCCTGTATCCACCTTTACACCGGGCCCTTCTGAAACCGGACGTGATGACTGCCGGCATTGCCTCTTCTGCTAGTCTTCAGCCGAGGCCCGAAAACATTAGCACGCTAGCACTCCACGTAACGACCACCGAATGTTGAAGCCAAATGACTACCTGATCGCATGTGGCAGCGCCAACAGCACGCAATCCTGAACGTCTACACCTGGCCCTGCTTTCGACTCCTTTTGCCCCGCGATGCTCTAAGCAAACCCGCAAAGTACAACTACAAAACTAGGAGTTCAAGACAAGAACATGTATAGAAAGGCCGCTGAATCCGCATCTCAACAGCCGAGTTCCAGAGAGGACCCGCGTGCGCGGGGCCAAGGAGCGCGCCATTGCGCCGGGGCCGCGCTTGGACCGGCATCCCAGCGAGGAGGAGGCGTGGCCTGGGGTTCTTCCGTTCAGCTCACGAGGGAGGAACCGAAGAGGTTCAAAAGTTGCGCGAAGGCTTTCGCAATTGCTCTAGTTCTGGACTGAGAGGAGGCGAGGTGATGCTACTCAGGCTGTGCTCGAGGTTTGTGATTTCTTTTCGTGGGACAGCTCATGATGCCGGCCTGCCCTGCGCTGTCACGAGCGGGGCGGCTTCTGTGATACTCGATCTCCAGGATTTGCTCCAACGCAGCCGATCCAAACACCTGGGTCATTCGTGAGCTCACGTCCAGATTTTTGCAATCCAGAGCATACAGATCGGCAGAGAGATCAAGCAAACGTTAATAGGTCTCGCCTGCACTGGACCGAAGAGGCAATCGCAGAAGCACACATGCCATTAAGACAAACTAAGTGTTGCCGCCACTGGTGGACATATGCAAAGCTTACGACCAGCCTCCTACAGGCGGTCCAAGGATGGGCACGAGCAGATCTATGTTAGGGTGAACCCGCTAGGGCAGGTTGCCTTGCACTAGCAAACTGTGGCCGCGGATGTTCTGGCTCATGCTCACGATCCTGGCGTGTGGAGCGCAGTACCACAACCGTGCCGCCAACAAGTGCTCTTCAACTTGGTGTTCGCGGTCTGGTGTAGAAACAGAGTGGCCCGGAGTTGATGCCACTCGTAAAGACGCTTTGGTTCTCGGTTGTTTGAGCCGATGCCCGTGATGTGGGGTTTCGCAGGTTGTACCAGCACAGCTGTCGGCGACAGCTGATGCTGACCATATTCCTGCCCGCCACCGTCCAACCCCACACCACTGGTGACTCATGCTCATGATGTTATGAGCTGCAGGCGGGAAAGACACATGTCGCATGTCTGGATGTTTACGCCAAGCATGTCCGATGTGCGAAACAAGCCTGACTGACTGCACCGCCATAAACCGGGATGATCTCGGACGGCCTGCTTTGCGCCCTATGCCAGTCCGCGCAACACCCAAACTGATGCCGGAGCTGTGGACTCAGCAAACCTCCTCCAAAACAGACTGGGCCTGACAGCCAACCTGACAAGCCTTTACCTGACGGGTGTGTGGGTTCGCAGAGAACGTCAGATTTGGAGACCGATCTGAATCGAAGGATGCTGTAATCGACCAGGTTGCTGCCTACCGGAAGGAGATGGAGAATCGAACCGGCGACAGTCCAGGCGCATGCTTCGGATCGGGCTTTCCATGCAAAGTCGTCAGCAGACGAGTACCGGTGCCAGTGCTGATGGTAACAAAGATAATTAGAACAACGACTCGTAGCGTAGAGCCGTCGTGAAGCGATCACTACACTGCGTGCTAACAACGCGCCTGCTTGTAAGGAGCCAAAGCAGACGAGGAGCTCACATGCCAAAGCGGGGGGACATGGTTTCGGGCCAGGGCAGAACCAAAGGTTTAGAAAGCAGCTGTCTAAAGCTGGTCGGGATGGACATATTTGAACGTCCTACTGTATCCAAAGAGCCATGCAAATTAGCCACGTGCGTTTACCCACCACCGACAACACACGCGGACAACGAAAGCCACAGAGCAATGCTGCGAGTAAGTATGCTCACACTGTATCAGCATTTCAATACAGTTTTAATGATGGTAGCAGTGCTAGCACTAATGCGATCCCCGCACTAGTGAGAAGAAGAAGGCAAGACCGAAATGGACTTCCAGAGTCGGATCCCGAAATCCACAGGACGGCAACCGGCCAAGGAGGCGAAAGAGCGGGGGCGTGGCAACTCCAAAGGCGGCGGAGAAGGAGAAGACCCAGGCCGAGTGGATTTGGTTCTTCGGTGGCTGGCGGAGAGCACAAGGAAGACGGCCTGTAAACGGGCTACCCTACGTGCTTCAGAGTTGCAGGCCCGAAGATCATAACATGTTTTGGAGTCTCGAGCCAAGAACGTCACGCAGGACGGGGTGTTTTTCGAGCCAAGGAAGCGAAGATCTAGGAAGGCTTTGCGGTTTACCGCGTTCGGGAGATTGACACTGTGGGTTGGGGGTGTTGGGCATGCTGGGTTCGGTTTGGGTCTTGACGGAGTATGCGTCGAGACTGCCGAAGGGATCTGAAACGAGACTTCCTGCAATACGGCTAAGAAAATACAGAAACACGGGTTGCCAGGCTGATGGTTTCTTTGTTTTTTAAACACTTGGTCCCCATATAGTGTTCCACCTGTGCACGACACCAGCGAACTTCTCGAGTTCTCGGAACTGCAAACACTGTCTACTCTAGCCACGTATCTTGGCCTGCTCGCCAGGTCTCCACCCCTACCGGGAAGAACAGCCCCACGGATGTTCTGGGAAACAGCCTTGGCTTCAGATCCAGTCGACATGCGGAAGGGTCACGGGGTTTCAGATTGAAAGGAGGCTCACATGAACATGTTTGGAATCCATGTTGAGCGGCTGCACCGAAGCGTGCAATACCAATCTTGGGTTTATGTGCGAGACGCAAGGTTCTCCCCAGGGTGAAGCCGCGGAAAAGATCCTTTACAAGCGCGTGCTAGTCGGCCACCGCCCCGGCCACTGGAGTGTTTCGGGGCCAATATCTGCTGTGGAGTATGGCTGGGTTTCGGTGATTGCCGGATGTTCCTTGAAGGGCCAATGCTCAGCTGCTCGAGAAGTGCTCACCCACTTGTCAATTCAAGGCGGATGTATGCCGGTAGTCATGATGGCAGCAAGGACTATATGACAGTACCCGCAGCCATACCAGCAACGATATCCGTCATTGCCCAGATAGCACCTATCCACAAACCCGATCATGACGGAAAATAGTCGAGATCTCACCCGGCAACATCAAAAGAGCATGCCCGAGGTTCATTCGAATTGTAGCATTGCAATATCCTGTAGGAAGCATCTCTGTTAATGTGAGTCCCGATTGCACGTATTGTGACAATGAAATCACTGCCCCTGGCATCGTTGTGCGAGTGATAACGTCGTCGTCATCGTAGCAGCAGCAGCAGCAGCAGCAAGAGGAGGAGGAGGAGGAGCGGGAGCGTCAGTAACCACATAGTGTGGTGGTGTAGTAGTACACAAGCAGGAGTGGCAATGGAGGAGCCGTGCCAGTAGTAATTCCCCGAGTAGGTGCAGTGGCAATCGAAGCCGTCGTCGTCGAAGTAGGTAGCATGTCGGGAAGAACCAACAGAAGGTGCACAAAGCAAGGCCAGAAGCTGTAGTACCACAGGAGCAGGAGATATCGTGTGCAACGATACATAACTGCAGGATCGCACGACAGCGTGATTTCTGGCGACAACAACCACTCACGGCAAAGGACGAATGGTTGCTGTGGCAGCGAGCGACCGACGCGAATAGACAGGTGTGCTTATGACGGTCAGCTCTTTGTCGTCTTTTTTGTCATCGCATATATCAGGCATCTCAAGCCCGATGGCTCGTGGAACGCTTCAGAAGCTTCCTAGAACCTCTTGAACCACGTAACCCACCTCTCGAAGACCCTCAACCGCTTCCTCGCAGGTGACCAAGAAGAAAACGTGAAGAAGGCAGCCTCCCAGACAAATGAAGGGGTTGGAGGGAGACAGGCTATGTTATGTGATGAGTACAGGTCCAGTTGAAAGGCATGCCACAGTCCAGGGTCGGGTCAAGAGGATGCATCAGTACAGTCGGTAGCTTGGCTTGTCGGGGTTTAGCACAGTGGGCCCTGAAATGCTGCTGTCGATGGCATGCCTGCTGAAAGCACAGCGGCTGTGCCCCGGGCAAATCCAAGGAGTCCCGAAGCAAAAAATGTAAGAGTCGAGCAGCTTGAGTCTTCAAGGGTCGCCCCAACCTTCTTAGTCCAAGCTGCGCCGGTCCGCTCCGGGCTGAGCGTTCTGCTCTGCTACGACTCGGCCTGCCCACTATCAGTCAAATGATTGGCAAGACTACATCTTACATCAGTGCTGCGGTTTCTCATCCTGATCTTGCTGTACCACGACGAAGACGCCACGTACTGAATGCTACTGCTACGGATACTACTGGTACCGTTACTACTGTTGCTGCTGCTTCTTCTACTTCGACGACGATTGCAACTGGTTGCGCTGTTGTTGCTCCCGCTATTACCACGACGACGCCGACGACGACGACTAGGACAGCCGCCACCACCACCACGACTACTGCTGCT